GGTGGACTTTTGGGTTGTTTCCAGGTTTGGCTATGATCTTTTGGTGGACATAAGCATCATCTCTCCTGGGTGGAATTGCTAGATTCAAGACTCTTTGTGTGTTTAGCTTTTCCTACCAGTGCAGTGTGAGAATTCTCTTTCACTTTGACAGGATCCAGACATGCTCCCCGCCCGCCCCCTACCCCCGCATCCCCAGAAACTTCATGGACATGCAAGGCTCTGTATTTTCACAGGATTTATCGTCTAGTTTCCAACACACATGTTTTATAAGGCTTGATGTTACCTCCTGCCTCCTAGGTCCCACTTGTTTCCTGACGACCACAGGCTTTGGCTCTGCTCGGTGGACGGGAGTGGTACTCTGGGTGCCCAGTAATTCCAGGAAGGTCTGGGTATTTTTTTTTAATAGTTGCTTTTTAAACTATATATATTTTTATTGATTTCAGAGAGGAAGGGAGAGGTAGAGAGAGATAGAAACATCAATGATGAGAATCATTGATTGGCTGCCTCTTGCACACCCTCCACCGGGCATGTGCCCTTGACCAGAATCAAACCTCGGACCCTTCAGTCCACAGACCAACGCTCTATCCACTGAGCCAAACCAGCTGGGGTGGTCTGGGTATTTTTCTTTCCTCACTGCAGTTACACAAGTCACAAGACTCCTTGACAAATTCTAGGAGGAAGATTTATAGTGAAATATATAAGGTGATTTCTGGGTTCTTCATCATCTGGTGGTCTGGTTACTGAGGAAAGAACTAGGGTCTATATTGTGATGGATCAGGCTAGGCCCCAATTCACGACAGATAGAGTAGTTTTGGACAGTAGCACAGGTGGGGCCTTAATGGGCTTCCTGACTATTTCTGTCCTGGGAGATCCATGACCAATTAGCACCTCCTGTGGGTCAAACGATTCTTATCAGCACAGCATATATACTCAACACAGGGCTCATAGCTCACATATACAATGAACTCTGACAAATCAACTTAAAAAGACAGACAAGCCAGGAGAAAGCCACCAAAGAAGCTATGCAATTGTCCAATAAAAACAAAAGAAACTTACCCCATTAGTAATAGAGAAACTAAAATTAAAACCATAATGAAATACACACTCACTATGCCCTAACTGGTTTGGCTCAGTGGATAGAGCGTCAGCCTACCGTCCCAGGTTCGATTCCAGCCAAGGGCATGTACCTTGGTTGCGGGCACATCCCCAGTAGGAGGTGTGCAAGAAGCAGCTGATCGATGTTTCTCTCTCATTGATGTTTCTAACTCTCTATCCTTCTCTCTTCTTCTCTGTAAAAAATCAATAAAATATATTAAAAAAAAAAAGAGGCTGGCTTTACCAAGTGAATACAGAACAGTGGGAACCTCCATACACCACTGGAGGGGTATAGACGGCACAGCTACCTGGGAAAGCTGTTTGGTAGCATTACTAAAGCTGGGCACATGTGCACCATGTGATCCAGCAATTCCACTCCTGAAATGCGTGCACATGAGCATCAAAAGACATGTCCAAGGGCGTTGGTCACAGTGGCACTCTGTGTCATAGTCCAAAACTGGAAACAGCCCAGATGTCCACCGACAGTAAAATAAAATCAATTTATTCAATAGAATTAGCAGTGCCCCCTTCTCTGTGGTTTTGTTTTCTGTGGTTTCAGTTACCCATAGTCATCCACAGTTTGAAATTATTAAATGGAAAATTCCAGAAATAAAAAATTCCTAAGTTTTAAATTGTGTGCTGTTCTGAGCAGGATGGCGAAATCTCAAGCCAACCCGCCCTGTTCTTTCTAGAACGTGCATATCCCTTTGCCCAGCATGTCCATGCTGCACGATCATAGTAGCTGGCTGGTTACCAGATCGACGGTCTGTCGTGGTATCACAGGGCTTGTGTTCAGGTAACCCCTATTTTACTTGATAATGGCCCCAAAGCACAAGAGTAGTGATGCTGGATGTGCCGAAGAGAAGCCATAAAGTGCTTTTTTATAAGCGAAAAGGTATGTATGCATACAAAGAAAACATAGTAGATATAGGGTTTGGTACCATCTGTGGTTTCAGGCATCCACTAGGGGTCTTACAATATATTCCAGGATAAGAGGGGGAGGGGGTAATCTAGTCAAATTTACTAATTTTACATTTTGAAGGCCCTGTTACTGTATTGAGGAGGCTGCCATCTGCTGGAATTAAGGAGAACTGCAGGGCAGATCTTGGCCTCCAGCAATTCATTCCCAATTTGGCTGTATTTGGTACATAATCTTTACACCCTGGTATGAGTTTGAGGCCATTCTCTAGTTTCATTAATAATAATAATAATGGCCGCATTTAACATGTATTGAACACTTATTACCTCCAAGGCACTTAATTCAACTTTACATGAATGTTTCACTTAATTGCTACAACAGTCTTATAGGTTGATACCAGTATTTTATTCATTTTATTTATTTTACTTTGGAGAAAACTGAGGCACAGGCAGACTAAGGAATATTTCCAAGGACACTCAAGAAGTAAGAGGGGAGTGTACTGTTGGTGGGAATGCAGACTGGTGCAGCCACTATGGAAAACAGTATGGAAGTTCCTAAAAAATTAAAAATGGGATTGCTTTATGACCCAAAAATTCCACCTTCAGGTATATATCTGAAGAAACAAAAAAGCACTAATTCGAAAGATATATGCACTCCTATGTTTATTGTGTTATTTACAATACCCAAGATATGGAAGCAGGCCAAATGCCCACCAATAGCAGAGTAGATAAAAAAAGTTGTGGTGTATATATACAATGAAATATTATCTGGCCATAAAAAAGAAGAAAATGTTACCATTTGGGACAACATGGATCTGCTTTGGTGTCCTCTTGCCCTGGATGGCTCTCAAAGCCCTCCCAAAATAGGAGGTATTATATTAAGTAAAATAAGTCAGAGAAAGACAAATACCATATGATTCACTTATATGTGGAATCAAAAGAGCAAGATGAACAAACAAACAAAAGAGAAACAGACTCATAGATACAGAGAAAACAGATGGCTGCCAGAGGTGAAGGGATTAAGAACTACAAATTGGTAGTCACAGAATAGTCCCGGGGATGTGAATGCAGCATAGGCAACATAGCTATAATATTGTAATACCTATGCACGGTGCCAGGTGGGTGCTTGAAATATCGGGGGGACCACTGTGTAAAGTATGATTGTCTAACCACTATGCAGTACATATAAAACTATTACAAAATAGTATTGAATGTAACCTGTAATTAAAAAAAAAGGAAAGAAAAAGGAACAGAGCACAAGGCTCCGTCTAGGCTCCATCCTTCAGGACTGGACTCAGCTCTTAGGGACTTGGTTTGCCTCTGAGGGTCTTGGCTCTCCACGCTGGGTCTGGGCTCAACTCTCCCGGGCTAGGTTTGGCTATTTGGTGCTAGGGTATCTGCTGGGGACTAGCTTCCCCTTTTCAGGCCTCGACTTGACTCCCTGGGGCTACCCTAGGCTCTTAGGGGCTAGGCTGCAACCTTTTGGATGGGCTCAGCTGTGCGGGGCTAGGCTCCGCCCTCGGCTGGGGTCTTTGAGGGTAGGCTCTGATCGTAGGCACTAGGGTCATCCCTTCAGGACCAGCTGCAGCTCTTAGGGCTAGGCTCGGCCCTTCCTGGCTAGATGCGGCTCTTTGGGGTTCCCTCAGCTCTTTGGGGTTAGCTCCGTTTCTGGGGGTACGCTCGGCTGTTCTGGGCGAGGCGCATCTCTGAAGAGAGCTGAGCTTAGCCCAGAAGAATGGAGCCTATCTCTCTCTCTATAAGTAAACAAATGAAGGAAAGCATTCCTTAACAGAGCAGAGGGCTCTGAGGACCTGGGCTCCGCCCTTCGGGGCTGGGCTGGGCCCTTAGGGACTTGGTTCACTCTGAGGGGCTTGGCTCTCCCCTTTGGGTCTGGGCTCAACTCTTCTGGGTTAGGTTGGGTTATTCTGGGCTAGGGTCATCCATTGGGGACTAGCTTTCCCTCTTTAAAAAAAGGAAAGAGGGGCCCTGACCGGTTTGGCTCAGTGGATAGAGCGTCGGCCTGCAGACTGAAGGGTCCCAGGTTTGATTCCGGTCAAGGGCATGTACCTTGGTTGTGGGCACATCCCCAGTGGGGGGTGTGCAGGAGGCAGCTGATCGATGTTTTTCTCTCATCGATGTTTCTAACTCTCTATTCCTCTCCCCTCCTCTCTGTGGAAAAATCAATAAAATATATTAAAAAAAAAAAAAAAAGGAAAGAGGGGAAACTGGGATTCAAACCCAGGCAGATTATGGATCTGTATGTTCACTTATTCAATCTTGTGAACTTTAACCACAAGTATTCCTGGTACCCTCAGGGTTTGATCCAGGTGCTTGACAAATTACACCGACCTTGTAAAGCCTGGATCAAACAGGCCTCCCCTGCCAGCACCCATCTGCTGGGTGGTCCAAGGAGGCTGGCAGTGCCAGGATAGATGCAGGTCACTGAGGCCATGGGTGGAAAGGGCTACTAGAAGAAACGGGGTCTCCACCTTGCCTTCTGTGTCTTGAGCCACCAGATCCAAAGCCCATGGTCAAGCAGAAACAGGTCTTTGGCCAACGGTTGGCTTGTGTTTCAGGTACCCTGTGATAGCTGCTCCTGGCTGGAGCCCTAAAACCCTAGATGAGAGGTCAGCAGACTTCTTCTGTAAAAGCCATATAACAGCCCTAGCCAGTTTGGCTCAGTGGATAGAGTGTCAGCCTGAGGACTGAAGGGTCCCGGGTTCAATTCTGATCAGGGGCATATGCCTGGGTTGTGGGCTCAGTCCCTAGTAAAGGGCGTGCAGGAGGCAGCTGATCAATGATTTTCTCTCATCATTGATGTTTCTCTCTCTCTCCCCTTCTGAAATCAATTTAAAAAATATATTTTTATATATTTTTAAAAAGCCATATTAACAAATATTTTAGACTTTGCAAGTCATATATGGTCCCTGTTGCAACTAATCATCTCTGCCATTGTAGCATCCAAGTAGTCAATGAATGGGTGTGGCTGTATTCAAACAAACCTTTATTTACAAAAACAGGTAGTAGACCAGATTTGCCAACCCCTGACCACCCTCGATGATACTCAGGAGATGACCTCACGCCTATGGTCCAGTCTGCCCCTCTGTAAGATGGAAACCTTAGGGTCTGGTGCTGTGCTGACAGTTGTACATGGGGCAGAAAAGGGCACTGGTCAAGTCGTAGATGCAGAGGCCAAAACAAGAGGGCCACAATGGAATAGGTTGAGCTTCCTTCTTCAGAAGAAACACCACTGTTTTATCCCAGGTCATACCCGTATACACACACAGTCCCTGGGCAGGCACTGTCCTTACTGGGCCCTTAGTTGCCCTTGTTCTGTGGCCTGACCACCTGTCCCTCTTTGGTGATGGCCCAGTTGTAGCTCTTTGGGGAGTCCAACGCTGCTTCTATCCGAGCATCCAGGTTCTCTCGGGTGATGAAGGTTTTTGCATCCTCCTATTGAGAGAAAAGGCGGCTGACTGGGAGCCCCCAGCACGGGCCAGCCTGCCCACCCTGCCTGCTGGCCTTCAGCCCACTGACAGCTCCAGCTCTCCCCTGGGAAGGATGCCTGGAGCCCAGGTCCTCTTTGAGTGCCCCGCTGACTTGCCAGCAGCCTTGTCACCTTCCTCTTTCTTAACCATCCACTGGACAGCTCTGCCAGAACCACAGCACACCAGCTGTGACAATGTTACCTCTCGGTCTCTCTCAAACTCCTCCTTCTCCCTCCATCACTTTAATTCAAGCCTCATCCATTCTTGCTGGATCACTCCTGCCAACCCAGCCAAAATATTTACCCCTTCAGTGACATCACCCAAAAGACAAACTCTCTGGATTTCAGGGGTCCCTCCTGCAGACACCAGCTTACCACCCACTAGCTACCTGGACACTTTCCAATGTCAGCGCTCACTCCAGGTCTCTGTGCCTGCCAGGCACGCTCCTTGCACTCCTCTCCCAAATCCCCACCTGCTCTCTCAAGACTGCCCTCTCCATTGGCACGTAGCCGGTGTCCCACCTCGCTGCACCCAGGGCTCTGCCGGCCTCCCAGGATGAGCTCCCGGTCTCCAGCCCCACCCCGTGGAGACGCGACCCACCTGCAGCTGCAGCACTTCCTGCTCCTTGAGCTGTACCCAGGCCTCTCTCTCTCGGGCCTTACGGGCCTTCTCCTCGGCCTGCAGCTGCTCCTGCTCCCGCGCCTCCTGCCGCAGCCTCGCTATCCTGGGAGGAGCAAGAGGCCGAGGCTGAGAGGGCTGGGTTCCCGCGGGCCGG